GCAGAATCTCTTCCCTCATTCCCTTCTCTCTCTGAAAGCAGGCCAGTGAGCAGAAAATCAGCTAGCTCAAAGGCAATTTGTCAATTAATTATTTGCAAATTTACAAAATTTAGAGATTGTAATGTTGTCTAACAATATTTAGCAGCCTTACCAAGAATAATTTAGCAGTATCAACAAAATAGCTATGAAATGTGTAAAGTGTACATGTTGATATCAATATCCAAAATAAAATTTCATGTGGGAATTTTTATATATAATTGTTTGGCTAATTTTACTTCCTTTCTGCTCTAAGTTAATTCATTCCAAATTAAAGTTAGATTAAGTTAACCTAAATTAAATTTTGGATGCTTTCACTAAAGTAATTTAAATGCAATTTAATTCAAAATACTGATTTTCTCAGATTCTTTTTGAATTTATAAATTAAAATAAAACATAATAGGCTACATGATTCTAAAATTAAAAATTATTTAGTATTAAAAAGTAGAAAATGTCATTAAAAATATTATGAAAGAAATCAGAAGTAGATGAAAAATCCTATCCCGTTAAAGCTTATAAATATTTGTTAAACTGCAGTCATTTAATTTGCAAATTGGTCGTTCAGTAAATTGATCCTTTGGTTAATTATCTTTAGGAAAGTTGGTATTTCAGCAAATTAGCCTAAATTTCTTATAAAGAGAAGAACTGTAATTTGCATATATAGATTTTCATTCAACTCTTGTGGAATGAATAAGCATCTCTCTCTAAATAGTGCTTATTTATATAATAAATATATCAATTTCCTGAAAGAGATCACTTACCAGTGAGATTTTTAATCTTGAATTATTAACAGAAGTATATGCGATAATATGCAAATAATAATATAACTAGATGGAAATTTATATAAACAAAAGGTCAACTTGGAACCAGAGAAAGTGGTTATGTAGTTTACATAATGATTTAAATTGTATTGACCTCACCTCTATGTACATAGCAGCACAATTTATAATAGCTTCTAAGATCTGGAAACAGCCCAAGTGCCCATCAATAGATCAGTGGCTAAAAAAAAGCGGTGGTACATTTACACCATGGAATACTAAGCAGCAGTAAAAAAGTAGGATCTCTTATCCTTTGAGACAGTGTGGAGGGACTTGGAAAGTATTCTGCTAAGTGAAATAAGTCAGAGAAAGACAAGTATCACATGATCTCACTCATATGTAGAATCTATTGAGGAAACTAAACTGTTGAACAAAATAGATCCAGAAACATAGAAGCACGGAACAGATGGTTGAACACCAGAGGGAATGCGAGGGTGGGTGCGTGAGTGGGTCATTAGGAAGAGAGCAACCAAAGAACTTGTATGCATATATGCATAACCCATGGAGACAGACAATAGGGTGGTGAAGGCCTGAGGCGGGGGCAGGAGAGGGCTATAAGGGGTCCATGGGAGAAAAAGGGGGACATATGTAATACTTTCAACAATGAAGACTTAGAAATAAATAAATAAATAAATAGTACTGACCTTCAGAGTCTTAAAAACTGTAACATTTATCATGGAACATGGAAATGGGGAAACATGAAGGGATAATCCTGGTCACTAAACCCCATGTTGCTTTTGTAAGTTAAAAAAAAAATAATAATCTAGCTCTAACAAAGCCTTGCCTGTAGGGCCACCAGCTTCGCGGACATGTGACCTGTATAGTCTCCTAGGACCCCATGCTTATTTCAATGCTCTGCTGTCACCATCTTGAAATTCTTAATACTTTTTGAATGAGAGAAGGCCCATTCTCATTTTGCTTGGGCTCTCACAATTAAGTAGCTGGACCTGCCTGTCTTTATGGTGAAAAACGAGAGACTTTGAACATGTTGATCCCTCAATTTAAAAGCAATAAGAAAGTGATAAGAAGTTAGTAGGAACTCCTGCAGAACTAGAAGGAATAAGGAATTCACTTAACTTGGAAAATGAGCTGTGTGCTGGAGCCTAACTTTGAATCTAGGCCTAATTGTGATAGAGACGGCAAACAAAATGAGGTGCCACAAGATAATAGTTTGCCTTCAACAAATATTCAATATCCTAGGCATTAAGAATATGACAGCATTTTTTTTAAAAATCCCTGTCCTTGTGGAACTTATATTCTTAATGGAGACAGATAATGAACATGATAAATGAGTAAAATATATAGTGTGTCAGAAAGTATATAAATAAATAAACATAAAGCAATACCGCCCAAAGAGGGTGGCTGGCCTAAGACAAACACAGGACAATAAAATCAGACCTTGGATTAAAGCCCTGGTCCCCAGACTCCTAGCCACACAATCCTTTCCTATGTCACTACTAAAGTAGGAAATGAATGGCCATACATAATCACAGTATAATCACAGGTATATACTGCCCTGATAAGAGTATGCAAAAGGAAGGAAGGAAGGAAAGAAGGAAGGAAGGAAGGAAGGAAAAGAAAGGGAGAGAGAAAGAGAGAAGGAAATGCTAGAAAGAAAAATAAATAAAGCCAAGACTATAATGTGGGGTGTGTGTGTGTGTGTGTGTGTGTGTGTGTGTGTGTGTGTGGAGTGTGATGAAGTTTTAGATAAGATGACCAGGAAGTTGTCATGGAGATAAATTATGAATAAAGATCTGAAAGTCTGAAAGGAGTCTTCAGCCAGGTATACATCTGGGAAAAGTGCATTCTGGCATCTGGAAAAACAAATGCCAATGCCCGCAGGAGGAAGTGTGCCTGGTGTGCGAAGAGCAGGGAAGCCAGAGTGGCCACAGTGAGCAAGTAGGTGGTGAAAAATGTGAGGACAGAGAAGTAATGGGCGGTGGGGCAGATCATGAGGGATCATGGACGTGGCTCAGAGGGAGATGAGAATCGAGTGCAGAATCCTGAGCTGATATGTGACCTGGTCCAACGTAAATTTTCAGAGAAACACCCAGCTGCTGTTTTGTTCCTCTGAATCTGTGGCTGAACCCAGTTAAGGCCTCTATAGGAACTTTTAAGGTTCTGGCAGGTAGATGTGGAAATCTGCTCTTCTTGTAGTCACACAAGACAAGCCTCCGGCTTATTAAGCCGTGCCACCTACCAGTCTGGCGTGTATGAGGGTTCAGTTTCAGATTTCACCTGAGAAATTTTCAAGGTTGTGAGCCAACATAAATGTATGGAGGTTTTCATGTCACATATTTTGATATATTGTAGAAGTATCAAAATATCTACTATTTTGAAACAAGCAATGGAGGAACGGACAGCCTCACCGTTTCCCATAGAGTCCGTGCCTGGAAGAATTCCTATTTTGTGAGTCTCTTTTTGAAACTACCAAGGTTGTTGACATATTAAAAATGGTAAAAAGTGGTTCTATGGCTCTGTTTATTATTATTATTATTATTATATATTTTATTGAGTTTTTATAGAGAGGAAGGGAGAGGGATAGAGAGTCAGAAACATCGATGAGAGAGAAACATCGATCAGCTGCCTCCTGCACATCCCCTACTGGGGATGTGCCCAAAATCAA